AATTTGTAAACAACAACAGCAACAACGACAACAACAAACCCAGGAATGTATTTCTTACAGACCACGAAAGAGACCAAACTTCCTCCCTCTGAGGAGGGAGTCGCAGGCACTTAGGATTCCCTCCCCCTCTGTCACATCCACTGTGCATCTCAAGAGAAGAGAGAGCAGGCCAGGCGTGGTGGCTTCACGCCTGTAATCCCAGCACTTTGGGAGGCCGAGGCGGGTGGATCACGAGGTCAAGAGATCGAGACCATCCTGGTCAACATGGTGAAACCCCGTCTCTACTAAAAATACAAAACATTAGCTGGGCATGGTGGTGCATGCCTGTAATCCCAACTACTCAGGAGGCTGAGGCAGGAGAATTGCCTGAACCCAGGAGGTGGAGGTTGCAGTGAGCTGAGATCGCGCCATTGCACTCCAGCCTGGGTAACGAAAGCGAAACTCCGTCTCAAAAAAAAAAAAAAAAAAAAAAAAAGAGGAGAGAGAGCAGGCCCGCTGGCGCCTCCTGTCTTCTCCCTGAAAACAACAGGCTAGGCCTTGGGGAAACTTCAGAAGGTACTATTTTTACCTAAAACAAGATCAAACCAGAAACCTTTTCACATGTGAGTCCTAAAACTGTAAACCGGAACCCTTTCATATGTGATTCCTGAAACTGTAAACAGAATCCTTTTCACAGTGTGAGCCCTAAAAACTATGAACCTAAGATTCTTCCACGTGTAACATCTAAAGTATAAGCCTATATAAAGGCTGAATCTCCCTTTGTTAGGGGAGCTTGGCTATTAAGCACACATGCTACCAGGCTACCAGCTGTAATAAAAGTTCCTTCCTCCAGGATTCGGTGTCCGAGAGATCCTTCCCGTGGCCGCTCCTGCTGCATTGGCAGGCTACAACAACACTGTAAATATCCACTTTACTCTGTGTAGACACAGCCAAAATCAATCAGTATAATTGATTACTACTCTTAATTTTTCTGGAGACACAATTTTACCAGGACTCTCTAATACTTGGGCCAGTTTGTAAAGTTCCCTCTCCTGCTGTTGACAGCTACTAATGAACTCCGCAATTTCTCTGCAGTTCTGTCAGATGCAAGAAGATAGGACCAGAGGCCCCTTCCTCAGGGAGGGTGCAGGTGCACAGCGAGAAGGACGGGAAAAGCTCGCCTTCTGGAGCATGTTGCTGATGGTCCTTAGCAGGGTTTGGGAGTGGTGCAGGCACAGGAACATTCCTGGGCCTGGGGTGGCCTCGGGGGAGGTTTCTGAGCAAACTGAGGCAGTCCAGGAGAACCAGGGTGGCCACAAGGAGGAGGCCTGGAAGGGAAGGGAAGGGGCAGGAAGAGAAGCTTCAGCCCGGATGGGCTGCCTGTACCACCTGTCCTCCATTCTGGCCACCTTCGCCCATCCTTTTCTGCTTGGCACTCCCTCATCCAAAGACATCCTCCCTCCACCCGTTTCCAACACTTTTCCTTCAACCCCTGAGAAATCACTCGAGTTATTACAAAGCACCACTCTATTCTAGGGCTAGAAGCCAGCTCCCTGTGAAGGTCTGGGGATGAGCTTGGACAAGGGTGTCGAACCCTGAGCTCACCCAGAGAAAGCCTCCATGTTTTGATCAGGGAAACCCGGACCAGATGGTGAAGTGGCTGCGCCAGACTTGTGACCCAGTGTTTTATTTTATTTATTTTATATTTATTCTTCTTCTTATTATTTTTTCGTGACCCAGTGTTTTAAAAACAGAGGGGTGAGAAAGCCTGACTTTTTTGGTGGTGGTTGTTTTTTTTTAAAATGGAGTCTTGCTCTGTGGCCCAGGCTGGAGTGCAGTGGCATGATCTTGGCTCACTGCAACCTCTGCCTCAGGGTTCAAGCAGTTTCCCCTGCCTCAGCCTCCAGTAGATGGGATTACAGGCACCCACCACCACACTCAGCTAATTTTCGTATTTTTTAGTAGAGATGGAGTTCTGCCATGTTGGCCAGGCTGGTCTTGAACTCCTGACCTCAGGTGATTCGCCCTCTGCCTCCCAAAGTGCTGGGATTACAGGCGTGAGCCACTTGCATCTGGCCAAGCCTGACTTTAGAGCTGGCTAGGATCTGCCTACTATTTGTAGCTGAGGGACCCTAGGCCGGAAGGCAGGAAATCTCCCACGCTGGGCCTCAGTTTCTCCTCTATGAGTGGGCATAATGATAGCTCATCAGGCTGTTTGGAGATGAAAAGAGACTTGCCTTATTTAGCGAATGGTGAGACCGCTATTTATTCTTTGCAGGAGACGTCTGCTGCTGTTCCAGTCTCTCCTTAGACCCGAGTTTTCTACCCGCTTCTTCCCAGGCAGCCGCCCCTCCGCACCGAGCGAGCGGGAGCCCGGGCCGGCTTGGTTCTCACTGGGCGCTGGACACGTGCTGGGCCAGCACCTGCAGGGACACTGGCCGAGCTGCTGGATGCAGAACTGTGGCCGCGGCAGGTGAGGGCGGTGGCTGCAAGGCTGGCCGAGGAGGCCACCATTTTGTAACTGTCTCGAGGCGCGGCAGGACTTTTCCCGGGACTCTGGTCTCTTGCTTTCTTTATCTCTCTGTCCGTCTTTACATCAGCTTCTCGGTGACACGTGCGGCCCGGCCGGCCCGCGGAGCTTGCGGAACTTTCGGTTTAACACCCGGGATGTCCGGCTGCAGCCGTCTTGGGACCGCCCGCCGACCTCCAGCTCCGCTCGAAGCGAAAGCGACATTTTCGTAGTTACTGCGTGGGGTCCACAGGCAGGCGGGACACCCCGCCCACCACACTGGGCCCCGGGCCTCTGCCGGACGCTCCTGGTCTCAGCCACTCCGCTCGGCAGCTGTGCAGCGCCCCCTGCCGACGCAGTGAGAGTAGTGCCACCCGGGGTCCTTGTCCTGCGGAGAGATGGGCCCCAACCGCGACCTCCAGCCTAGGTCTGGAAGGATTGGGCAAATCATTAATTCATCATTCATTCCTTCAAATGGCCCACTGGATGCCAGGCTGACATTAAGCCGGGCGCAGAACACCTAGGGAGAACAGGACTCTTAGGGGAACTGCCACACTAAATCAGACTCAATGAGTTTTGTTCACAGGTCTTTTCTGAGACCTGAAAAGGGATGAGAGCCGGCTGTGTGGGAGGGAACGATGGGATAAATGAACAGGGTCCTGGGAGGAAAAACCTAGAGAAAGAGTCCACGCTCAGCTGGAGCAACGGGGTCCAGGAGGCAGCAAACTCTTCCAGAGGCCCCAACCTGAGTGTTAAAAACAAGCAGGCATTAGACAGCTTCCAGCGGGATGGCATGCCGGGTCTATCCAGGGCAAACAGGGATCTGAACCCAGTCATGGAGGGTTGAGGGAACTGGGGTCTAGGTGTCCTTGCAGAGTGTGAGGCTGGAGAGCTGGATGGGGCCCTGCCATGAGGGCAGGGGATGCCATACTAAGGAGTGTACCTTCTGTGCTGAGAGTAGAGGGGAGTCTTCCTGGTTTTTTGTTTTTGAGATGGAGTCTAACTCTGTCACCCAGGCTGGGGTGCAATGGCATGGTCTCAGCTCACTGCAACCTCTACCTACCAGGTTCAAGCGATTCTCCTGCCTCAACTTCCTGTAGCTGGGTCTACAGGCACGTGCCACCACACCCGGCTAATTTTTGTATTTTTTTTTTGTAGTAGAGACAGGGTTTCAGTATCTTGGCCGGGCTGGTCTTGAATTCCTGACCTCGTGATCCAACTGCCTCAGCCTCCTAAAGTGCTGGGATTACAGATGTGAGCCGCCTAGCCAACACCTTGTCTCTTAACAAACAACAACCCGCTCTTAGCTGATCCCTCACTTAAACTCTGTGGTCCTTGCTACCCCAGTCCCATCAAAGTTGATATGCTGTGTATTATTCAGCAATGACAGTTAGGAAGAATAAAGGAAATAGAAATGAAGAGGTAGAATGGTCAGTGTTTTGCAGTTGGTTGGGTATGCAGGATAAAGATGGTAAACTCAGATGATGAAGTTTCATGTATGGACGGGAGACTTGTAGAGATTAGGCTTTGGAACTAGAGTTCTAGATTCAAATCCCATCTCTACAGCTTGGTAGCTGTTTGTTCCTGGGCAGCGTTTTTAAACCTCTGAGCCTCAGTTTGCTATGTATAAATGGGAATAATTTAGTACCCACTTCATTAGGTTATTGTGGGGCTTTAGAGAAAGTCCATATAAGGTACTTAGCTTAGTGCCTGAGTGTTTTTTTAATTAATTTTTAATAGCAAGGTCACTTTTTAAGCTAGAGAACAAACAAGGAGGAGCAGAGGTAGATGTTAAAGATGATTTTCATTTAGAGGAGCTGAGTTTAAAGTAGCCAAGGGCAGTATCCAGAAGACAGGACTGCCGGCCTGGCCGGGAAAGGGAATTACTTGGGTTGTTGCAGGAGTGATGATGCTGGATCCACGATGTAGCTTTGCATTCATTCTCTGAAACTGCTTCCTAGATGGCTTCAAAGCTCCCAAAGCTCCACCGGTTTGAACCTGTGAAAAATGTCTGATGAACTGAGACAACTTGAGGTTACTCACCTTTAGCTCCAGACTGTAGTTGACTAACTGGAAAGTTTTTGTGCTTTTTCCAACCACTGGCGCCAGGGCTGCTGCGTGTGTGTGTGTGTGTGTGTGTGTGTTCCCTGCTCTGTGGTGCCTGGGCCAGGGGAGAACGAGGTAAAATCCCACTGTTGTCTTCACTCCAAGCCTTGTGCCCTTGGCTGCAACTGAATGGGCTGGCAGGATTTCTGCCTTGGGAATGTTTGTCTGCTCCCTCCATGGGTGGGGCTTAGTGTTGAGAGTCAAGCCACTGAGGAAGTTGCCTGTGACCAGCTTGACTCCATGTGGTCAGTGTAATTTTCTTTGATAAAGGACCGCCTCCTGGAGTTACTTAAATTCCTTTTTTTTTTCTTCTTATTGCAGATCATCAATGCCGTGGTACTGTTAATTTTGTTGAGTGCCCTGGCTGATCCTGATCAGTATCACTTTTTCAAGTTCTGAACTGGGCGGTGACTTTGAGTTCATGGATGATGCCAGTAAGTAGTAGATACTTTGGTATTTTCAAGGGCAGGGAATCTTAATCCAGTACTTCCTATTAAATTACAAATATTGACTCGTGAGCCCATTTGAGCTGATATGTAACTTCCTGTCATCACAAATCAACAAATACTTGTGTGCGTCCCACGTTCTGACTGTCTTCTAGGTGCAAGAGTCTAAATAAGATCTTTTTTCATCTCGTGTTAACTTACTCATATAAAAAACTATTGCATTGTCGTAGACTTTCTACCCTGAGCCTTTTGGCCTTTTTTTGAGAGGAAGAGGTATAAATGGCAGGAAGGAAGGTGAAAAGCTCGTGCTTATCTCCTTGTGTCTTCTATTATGTTTCAGTATTTATTTTTATTATAGGAAGTGATTCTTTTCCATTCTAGAAATGATGTTGCAGATTATTTGGGGGAATTTAGGATGTGTTTGCAGTGAATGGAAATATGTCCAGAGGTGTGGATGTGGGGTATGTAGGGAGGAAGCTAGGCTCCCAGCTTAAAGGTCACTGCAGCCTAATCATTTTATTTATTATTTATTATTATTATTGTTGTTTTTTAAGATGGGGTTTCACCGTGATGGCCAGGCTGGTCTTGAACTCTTGACCTTAGCTGATCCACCCACCTCGGCCTCCCAAAGTGCTAGGATTACAGGCGTGAGCCACCGCGCCCGGCTGCCTAATCATTTTATAATCATAATCATGCTGAGTCCATGGCAAAGGAGAGGGGCAGTACTGTGCATAATCTCAAACAGAAGATAGTACAGATTTATTTTTCATTGGCTTTGGAGAACTTCAAGTGAGTTTTTCATAAAAAGCGTTGGAGGAATAGGAGAGAGTGGCTCAGCACGCAGTTTTAGAGCTAGATAGGAAGCATTCGAAAGACATAGTGAGGGCTGTTTCTCCACGTGAGAAAAAGAGCTGTTCAGTGTTTTTTTTTTTTTTTTTTTTGAGACGAAGTTTCGCTCTTGTTACCCAGGCTTGAGTGCAATGGCGCGATCTTGGCTCACTGCAACCTCCACCTCCTGGGTTCAGGCAATTCTCCTGCCTCAGCCTCCTGAGTAGCTGGGATTACAGGCACGCGCCACCATGCCCAGCTAATTTTCTGTATTTTTAGTAGAGATGGGGTTTCACCATGTTGACCAGGATGGTCTCGATCTCTTGACCTCGTGATCCACCCGCCTCGGCCTCCCAAAGTGCTGGGATTACAGGCGTGAGCCACCGCGCCCAGCCCCAGTGGTTTTAACTGAATGCATGAACTGATGTGTGCATTTAAGATCCCTTTTTTTTGCTGAGTGGAGGGTGCATTTGGGGGCTGTGTGTGTGAGCACAGAGGCTGGGAGAGTGGTATTGGGGATAGCACCTAGGCTGCACTGGGGTTAGAGAACAGGGAGAGATTTGGCAGAATTTGCTGGTTTGGGCGGTGAAGGAAACGGAGGAATCAAAGATAACTTCTGCCTTCCAGCTTGAGGAGATGACCTGTGTCTTTACTGAGCTGAGAAAGTCGGGAGTCGGGAGGTGGGAACAGACCTGGGGGGCAAAACTCGACTTTAATTTCAGTAACTAGCTGAGCACAGTTGTTAGGGATTGATAGGTTTGGCGTGTTCCCACCCAAATCTCGAATTGTATCTCCCAGAATTCCCCTATGTTGTGGGAGGGACCCACGTGGAGGTAATTGAATCATGGGATCTGGTCTTTCCTTTGCTATTCTTGTGATAATGAATAAGTCTCACGAGATCTCAGGGGTTTATCAGGACTTTCCGCTTTTGCTTCTCCTCATTCGCTCTTGTCACTGCCATGGAGGGAGTGCTTTTTACCCTCTGCCGAGATTCTGAGGCCTCCCCAGCCAAGTGGAACTGTAAGTCCAGTTAAACCTTTTCCCCAGTCTTGGGTGTGTCATTATCAGCCCCATGTAAATGGACTAATAGAGTAAATTGATACCAGTAGAGCGAGGTGTTACTGGGAAGATACCTGAAAATGTGGAAGTGACTTTGGAACTGAGTTGGAGCAGTTCGGAGGGTTCAGAAGAAGACAGGAAAATGTGGGAAAGCGGCCAGGCGAGGTGACTTATGTCTATAATCCCAGCACATTGGGAAGCCGAGGTGGGTGGATCACGAAGTCAGGGGTTCGAGACCAGCCTGGCCAACATGGTGAAATCCCATCCTTACTAAAAATACAAAAATTTAGCTGGGTGTGTTGGTGCACACCTGTAATCCCAGCTACTCAGGAGGCTGAGGCTGGAGAATGACTTGACCGGGGGCAGAGGATGCAGTGAGCCCGGGAGGCAGAAGTTGCAGTGAGTGGATATCGTGGGAGGCTCCATCTCAAAAAGAAATGTGGGAAAGTTTGGAACTTCCTAGAGACTTGTTGAATGGCTTTGACAAAAATGCTGATAGTGGTGTGAATAAGAAGTTCCAGGCTGAGGTGGTCTCAGATGGAGATGAGGAACTTGTTGGGAACTGGGAGGAAAGGTGACTCTTTATAACCACCTGATTTTTTTTTTTTTTTTTTTTTTTTTAAATAGAGTCTTGCTCTGTCCCCTGTCTGGAGTGCAGTGGTCCTATCTCAGCTCACTGCAACCTTGGCCTTCTGGGTTCAAGCAATTGAACCCCTGCCTCAGGCTCCCTGTAGCTGGGACTATATGCCCAGCTAATTTTTTTTTTTTTTTAAATTTTACTAGAGATGGGGTTTTCACTATGTTGGCCATGATGGTCTTGATTTCTTGACCTTGTGATCTCCCCACCTCGGCCTCCCAAAGTGCTGGAATTACAGGCATGAGCCACCCCGCCCAGTCAACCACGTGATTTAAATGATAGAAAGTAATTACAGGCTGAGTGTGGTACCTTATACTTGTAATCCCAGCACTTTAGATGACCAAGGCCAGCAGATCACTTGAGGTCAGGGGTTCAAGACCAGCCTGGCCAACATGGCGAAACCCTGTCTTTACAAAAAATACAAAAATTGTTTGAACATGGTAGCATGTGCCTGAGGTCCCAGGTACTTGGGAGGCTGAGGCAGGAGAATTGTTTTAATCTGAGAGGCAGAGGCTGCAGTGAGCTGAGATCATGCCACTATACTCCATCCTGGGTGACAGAGGAAGACTCTTGGGGTGGAGGGGAAAGAAAGTAATTACAAACTATTCATTCAATCCTTTCATATATATAAAATACAAGAGATACTACAAATGTCCTGGAATTAACATCCAGGACATTGTAAAACAATTACTATTTTAAAGTCTTCTTCTTCCTTTTTTTTTTGAGATGGAGTTTCGCTCTTGTTACCCAGGCTGGAGTGCAATGGCGCGATCTCGGCTCACCGCAACCTCCGCCTCCTGGGCTCAGGCAATTCTCCTGCCTCAGCCTCCTGAGTAGCTGGGATTACAGGCACGTGCCACCATGTCCAGCTAATTTTTTGTATTTTTAGTAGAGACGGGGTTTCACCATGTTGACCAGGATGGTCTTAATCTCTTGACCTTGTGATCCACCCGCCTCGGCCTCCCAAAGTGCTGGGATTACAGGCTTGAGCGACTGCGCCCGGCCCGCCCTTTTTTTTTTTTTTTTTTTTTTTTGAGAGACGGGGTTTCACCTTGTTGGTCAGGGTGGTTTCGAACTTCTGACCTCAGGTGACCCACCCACCTCAGCCTCCCAAAGTGCTGGGATTACAGGCTTGAGCCACAACGCCCAGCCTTAATATTTTAAAGTCTTAAGTACCAGCAAGCCTTTCAAGTTAGCTAAATTTGGCCTATGATGTCAGATGGTCATTACCCAGCTTAATCTCTGGTGATGAGAATAAGGCATGCAGTGTTACTACATATTCGATCCAGATAGAACCATAGCATTAGCATTTACAACTTCTTTTCCTAACTTCAATTACCTAAGAAAGGGAATCCTGCTACTGGAATTGTGTAGCTTTAATCTGGAGGGAAATAAAGCAGAGTGACGTTAATTTATTAATTAAACTCATTATTCTTTCTGGAAGAATTCATATGAGTAATGGGGGTCATTCAGAATAGAGCGAATAAGAAATGTTAGACCAGGTGCAGTGGCTCACACCTATAATCCTAGCACTTTTGGAGGCTGAAGTGGGTGGATTGCTTGAGCTGTGGAGTTCGAGATCAGCCTGGGCAACATGGTGAAACCTTGCTCAACTAAAAATACAGAAATTTGCTGGGTGTGATGGTGCGTGTCTGTAATCCTAGATACTCAGGAGGCTGAGGTGGGAAGATCTTGAGGACAATCTGTCTGGGGACAGACATTGCAGTGAGCTGAGATTGTGCCACTGCACTCCAGCCCGGGCAACAGAGCTAGACCCTGTCTCAAAAAAACAAAAAAAATTATGAAAGTTAATATAGCAATTTGATCTTGATATCTTTTTGCAGTGGTGACAGTTGTCTGAAGATTTCATCCAGCTAGACAGAGCACAACTCTTTCTCACTTTTACATATGATTTTTTCCCCCATGATCTGGTAGAAGAAAGCTAAATTCCTGTTCATATTAAAACAAGGCATATAGGAGAATCTACTGGAATAAAAAAAGAAAACGCAAGGAAAAAGCTTAAAAAAATTTTTTTTGAGACAGGGTCCCACTCTGTCACCAGGCTGGAGTGCTGTTGGGTTTGGTAAACACAATCTGGGTTTACTGCAATCTCTACCTCCCAGGCTCAAGTGATTCTCTTGCCTTAGCCTCCCACGTAGCTGTAACTTGAGGTGTAAGCCACCACACCTGGCTAATTTTTTGTAGAGGTGGGGTTTTGCCATGTTGCCCAGGCTGGTCTTGAACTCCTGAGCTCAAGCACTTTGCTCTCCTTGACCTCCCAAAGTGCTGGGATTACAGACATAAGCCACCCTACCCAGCTTTAATTGACTATACCAGGCATCCCCAAACTATGGCCTGCGGGCCGCATGCGGCCCCCTGAGGCCATTTATCTGGCCCCGCCGCCACACTTCAGGAAGGAGCACCTCTTTCATTGGTGGTCAGTGAGGGGAGTACAGTATGTGGCGGCCCTCCAATGGTCTGAGGGATAGTGAACTGGCCCCCTGTGTAAAAAGTTTGGGGACGCCTGTACTATACAGTACTGGGAAAGAATGTCACAGATTGGAAGAGACACAGTTAAATACAGTGTGGGATCCTGGATTAGATTCTGGAAAAGAAAAAGGACATTGTGGGGGAACAGGTGAAATTCAAATTAGTTGTGCAGTTTAATTAATAGTGTTGTACCAATGTTAATTTCCTGGTTTTGGTAGTTATGCTAGAGCTAGGTAAATTGTTGTTGTTGTTGTTGTTGTTTTTGAGACGGAGTTTCGCTCGTTACCCAGGCTGGAGTGTAATGGCGCGATCTCGGCTCACCGCGACCTCCGCCTCCTGGGTTCAGGCAATTCTCCTGCCTCAGCCTCCTGAGTAGCTGGGATTACAGGCACGTGCCACCATGCCCAGCTAGTTTTTTGTATTTTTAGTAGAGACGGGGTTTCACCATGTTGACCAGGATGGTCTCGATCTCTCGACCTCGTGATCCACCTGCCTTGGCCTCCCAAAGTGCTGGGATTACAGGCATGAGCCACCGCGCCCAGTCTAATTTTATTTTTTGAGAGAGGATGTTGCTCTGTCACCCAGGCTGGAGTGCACTGGCACAGTCTTGGCTCACTGCAGCCTCTGCCTCCTGGGCTCAAGCTATTCTCCCACCTCTGCCTCCCCAGTAGCTGGGACCATAGGTACGCACCACCACACATGGCTAATTTTTGTATTTTTAGTAGAGATGGATTTTTCTGTGTTGCCCAGGTTGGTCCTGAACTCCTGGGCTCAAGCAATCATCCACCTTCGCCTCCAAAAGTACTGGGAATGCAGGAGTGAGCACCGTGCCTGGCCTGGCTGTGTATTTCTGTCCATCCTCCCTCCTATTCTTTCAACTGTTTATCTTTTTTTTTTTTTTTTTTTTGAGACGGAGTTTCGCTCTTGTTACCCAGGCTGGAGTGCAATGGCGCGATCTCGGCTCACCGCAACCTCTGCCTCCTGAGTTCAGGCAATTCTCCTGCCTCAGCCTCCTGAGTAGCTGGGATTACAGGCACGTGCCACCATGCCCAGCTAATTTTTTGTACTTTTAGTAGAGACGGGGTTTCACCATGTTGACCAGGATGGTCTCGATCTCTCGACCTCGTGATCCACCCGCCTCGGCCTCCCAAAGTGCTGGGATTACAGGCTTGAGCCACCGCACCCGGCCTTGACTTTTTTTTAAAGGATAATTCAATAAATTATTTGGATTTTTTTTTTAGTTGAAGCCTCACTCTGTCACCCAGGCTGGATTACAGTGTTGCTATCTTGGCTTACTGCAACCTCCACCTCCCAGGTTCAAGTGATTCTCCTGTCTTGGCCTCCTGAGTAGCTGGAATTACAGGTGTGCCCCACCATGCCCAGCTAACTTTTGTGTTTTTAGTAGAGTTGGGGGTTTCATCATGTTGACCAGGCTGGTCTTGAACTCCTGACCTTAAGTGATCTGCCTGCCTTGGCCCCAGAGTGCTGGGATTACAGGCATGAGCCACTGGCTCACGCTTGGCCTGGATGATCATTTTCAAGATTTTTTGCAAGGGTACACCTTTGTATGTATGAGAAGACCACTAGAGATGGTAAAGTCACTTGGATAATCCTGGAAGGCCGTAGTTACTGGAGCTGGGAATGAGACAGCCACCTAGGTTTAACCTCTTTGTGAGGGGCAGTGGCATTTGGACTAAGTCTATCACCAACCCAAGACGAGCTCAGAGTGGGAGGCACCCTCACTCTCTTCCCTCATCTGATCTCATTCCCTCACCAGAGGGTGGAGGGCAGAGAAGCTGTATATCGAGAGCCCGTACAGATCACTGCCGGGGCAGAGAACAGGGTATTGAAGAGTGGATTTGGAACAGCACTGGAAGTCAGCTGGATGAGCCACTCCACTACTTATCTTGACGTTCCACCTAACCAAGCTGTTTACTGGGTGTACATTTCCCTACTTTGCCTACAAGAATACTATGAAAAGCTCTGCTAAATGTCTTACTGAAATCTTTGGATGCTGTATTAGGGTTCTCTAGAGGGACAGCACTAATGGGGTATATTTAAGGGAGTTTATTATGGAGAATTGACTCACACAATCACAAGGTAAAGTCCCATGATAGGCCGTCTACAAGTTGAGGAGCAAGGAAGCCAGTGGATAGGTCTGAGTCCCAAAACCTCAAAAGTAGGGAAGCTGACAACGTGGCCTTCAGTCTGTGGCCAAAGACCTGAGAACCCGTGGCAAACCACTGGTGTAAGTCCAAGAGTCCAAAAGCTGAAGAATTTGGCATCTGATGTTCGAGGGCAGGAAGCATCCAGCACTGGAGAAAGATGAAGGGCCAGAAGACTCGGCAAGTCTGCTCATCCATCTTCTCCTGCCTGCTTTATTCTAGCCGGGCGGGGAGCTGATTAGATGATGCCCACCCAGATCGAGGGTGGGTCTGTATCTCCCAGTCCACGGACTGAATTGTTCACCTCCTTTGGCAGCACCCTCACAGGCCCATCCAGGAACAATATTTTGCATCTTTCAGTCCAGTCAAGTTGGCACTCGGTATTAACCATCACAGATGCACTAAGCCTACTCTCCACTGGCTGAGCAGGAGCTAGATCAGCTCTGGTGTCCAGTATTCCTCTTTTCCTGTTCTGTTCTCAGCAGCTGCTTCTCCGATGCATATTGTTGTTGTTGTTTACATTTTAATGTTTTTGAAATCAGGATGTGATTTGCAATTTAGCAGAGATTTAGTATAAGGATCCTTTTTTTCCCCTCTAGATCTTTTTTTTTTTTTTTTTTTTTTTTTTTTTTTTTGAGACGGAGTTTTGCTCTTGTTACCCAGGCTGGAGTGCAATGGCATGATCTCGGCTCACCGCAACCTCCGCCTCCTGGGTTCAGGCAATTCTCCTGCCTCAGCCTCCTGAGTAGCTGGGATTACAGGCACGCACCACCATGCCCAGCTAATTTTTTGTATTTTTAGTAGAGACGGGGTTTCACCATGTTGACCTGGTTGGTCTCGATCTCTTGACCTTGTGATCCACCCGCCTCGGCCTCCCAAAGTGCTGGGATTACAGGCTTGAGCCACCGCGCCCGGCTCCCCTCTAGATCTTTATGTTGAAATTATTTAAAGCTTTTATTTAAAAAAGTTGCATGTACAATAAAAACCAGTATTATTTTTCTCATTAACAATAATTTGTTCTGCCAGATCTAAGAAAAGCAGTTTTAAAAACCCAGTAGTTTGGAGTTCTTTTCTTTTTTTTTTTTTTTTGAGGTGGAGTTTTGTTCTTGTTACCCAGGCTGGAGTGCAATGGCGTGATCTCGGCTCACTGCAACCTCCGCCTCCTGGGTTCAAGCAATTCTCCTGCCTCAGCCTCCTGAGTAGCCGGGATTACAGGCACGTGCCACCATGCCCAGCTAATTTTTTGTATTTTTAGTAGAGACGAGGTTTCACCATGTAGACCAGGATGGTCTCAATCTCTTGACCTCATGATCCACCCGCCTTGGCCTCCCAAAGTGCTGGGATTACAGGTGTGAGCCACCACGCCCGGCTGAAAGAATATTTATGAAATATTTATTTCCTGTAGCAACTAATGGTGCTACAAGCAATTGTGTACCTGCCAAGTTGTTTTAAGAAGTGTTTCGCCATGTGCAGTGGTTCATGTCTGTAATCTCATAGTGGCAATGCCCAGGCAATCGAGGCTGCAGTGAACCATGATCACACCACTGCAGCTCCAGCTTGGGAAACAGAACAACAGCCCTTATTTATCAGAGACTGACTAAAGAAAATAAGGCTGGGCGTGGCGGCTCATGCCTGTCATCCCGACACTTTGGGAGGCTGAGGCTGGCAGATCACTTGAGATCAGAAGTTCACAACCCACCTGGCCAACATGTTGAAACCCAAAATACAAAAATTAGCTGGGCATGGTGGAGCACACCCATAGTCTCAGCTAGTTAGGGGGCTGAGGTGGGAGACTCACTTGAGCCTGGGAGGTGGAGGTTGTGTTGAGCTGATATTGCACCACTACATTCCAGCCTGGGTGACTGAGTGAGACTCTATCTCAATAAATAAATAGATAAATAGATAGATAGATAAAAATTAAATAAAATGAATTAGATGGTATGGATCTCTTATAGTGAGCAAGAGAGTGGGATGAGGTGAGGCAAAATTAGAGAGGTAGACATGCTCTGAAATCGGATCATCAAGGCCTTGATAAGAAGTGGAGGTTTTATTTTAAATAAGATGGGAATCTGTGAAGACTTTTATTAGAGCTTTGAGGCACACATGGGTTTATAAAATAGAAGTTAGACACCTATGTATCTATAAAGTAATACCTAATCATTATTTATATAATTTAGAGGACGAGAAGACCAAACATTAAAAAAATACCTGTAAACCAGTATCCTTTTCTCTATTTTGAAATAATCTCTTACTTAATATAAAGTTTTTAAAATTAACTTTATACTAGTTTATTTACAAAATATCTTTAAGAAGAGACTGAAAGTATTCAAACAGTGGATCCACTACTGAGTGCCTTTTTAAAAAATTTCTTTTTAATCTTTTGGCAGACATGTGCATTGCCACTGAGACTTCTCTTCTCATGATTCTGATATGTGCTATGGCTACTTATGGAGTATACAAGGTAAGCAGCTTGCAATTAGCTGCTGGCCTTTTCCTCGGTCTCTTACATGTTTCATCTGTGCTGCTATCTATATTAAGAAAGAAGGGACTTTCCAGTTTTCTGTAAGAATCTCTGAATAATGTTTATATCTCTCATTTGTATTAGATGGTACTAGGAAAAGCAATAAAATCAGTATTATAGTTCTGGAAATGTTTTTTGTTTCTTTGTTTTTTGTTTTTTTTTTTTTCCGGAGACAGGGTCTCACTCTGTCACACAGGCAACCTCCGCATCCCAGGTTCAAGCAATTCTCCCACCTCAGCCTCTAGAGTAGCTGGAACTATAGGTGCCCACCACCACACCTTGCTGATTTTTGTGTTTTTTGGTAGAGATGTGATTTCACCATGTTGGCCTGGATGGTCTCAAACTCCTGACCTCAAGTGATCCACCCACCTCAGCCTCCCAAAATGTTGGGATTACAAGTGTGAGCCACCGCACCCTGCCTCCTGGAAATATTCATGGAAGCTTGTTTGTTGACTGCTTATATTTGTCATACCAGTTTCCATCATGACCTGGGTTAATGAATTTCAATTTTTCCATTTCTTTTCAGAGTAATAAAATATTCCTTTGAATTTAACAAAATAATATTTTATAATATTGAACACATTAACTTTCTGTTTTCTGTTCTTTTTAGCAACACGCAGCCTGGATTATCCCATTCTTCTGTTACCAGATCTTTGATTTTGCCCTGAACACGTTGGTTGCAATCACTGTGCTTGTTTATCCAAACTCCATTCAGGAATACATGCAACAACTGGTATGTGGGCCTCTTACTGTTTCTTTTCATTAGGGAGAGCCGGTTAAGTAAGGGATGTAGAGTTATAGAGAGACACAAACATTAATTTCAGGATTTTTAGTTTGCAGCTGAAATTGATACAATTTTCATTCATTTATTTATTTATTTATTTTTGAGACGGAGTTTCGCTCTTGTTACCCAGGCTGGAGTGCAATGGCACAATCTCGGCTCACCGCAACCTCCGCCTCCCGGGCTCAGGCAATTCTCCTGCCTCAGCCTCCTGAGTAGCTGGGATTACAGGCACGCGCCACCACGTCCAGCTAGTTTTTTGTATTTTTAGTAGAGACGGGGTTTCACCATGTTGACCAGGATGGTCTCGATCTCTCGACCTCTCGACCTCGTGATCCACCCGCCTTGGCCTCCCAAAGTGCTGGGATTACAGGCTTGAGCCACCGCGCCTGGCCTATTTATTTATTTTTGAGATGGAGTGTTGCTCTTGCCACCCAGGCTGGAGTGCAATGACATGACCTCAGCTCACTGCAACCTCTGCCTCCTGGGTTCAAGCAATTCTCCTGTCTCAGCCTCCCAAGAGGCTGGAATTACAGGCACGCACTAACATACCCGGCTAATTTTATATTTTTAGTTGGTTGGGCTGGTCTCAAACTCCTGACCTCAGGTGATCCACCCACCTCAGCCTTCCAAAATGCTGGGATTACAGGCCTGAGCCACTGTGCCTGGCCTGATAAGAAATTTTTGAGTGCCGGGGTTATTATTGGTGGCAGTGATGGTGGTGTTTGATGTGCCTACCTAAATTATAGTCTAGTTACTGAGAGTCTTGTTTTGGTAAAATGTAGTTTTCTCAGTTATCAACAAAGGATAGGTTTTTGCCTCTGCTAGTATATTGAAAGTGGAACTCGGCCTGTCCGAGTGCAGTGGTGTTTACAACTAATTGATCACAACCAGTTACAGGTTTCTTTGTTCCTTCTCCACTCCCACTGCTTCACTTGACTAGCTTTAAAAAAGAAAGAAAGAGGGCCGGGCGCGGTGGCTCAAGCCTGTAATCCCAGCACTTTGGGAGGCCGAGGCGGGTGGATCACGAGGTCGAGAGATTGAGACCATCCTGGTCAACATGGTGAAATCCCGTCTCTACTAAAAATACAAAAACCTAGCTGGGCGTGGTGGCGCGTGCCTGTAATCCCAGCTACTCAGGAGGCTGAGGCTGGAGAATTGCCTGAACCCAGGAGGCGGAGGTTGTGGTGAGCTGAGATCGCGCGCCATTGCACTCCAGCCTGGGTAACAAGAGCGAAACTCTGTCTCAAAAAAAAAAAAAAAACAAAAAAGGAAAAGAAAAAACATGGAATTCTGCTCAAAAACAAAATAATTAGCTGGGAGAGGTGGCACATGCCTGTAATCCCAGCTGCTTAGGAGACTGAGGCAGGAGAATTGCTTGAACCTGGGAGTTGGAGGCTGCAGTGAGCCAAGAATACGCCACTGTGCTCCAGCCTGAGCAATAGAGCGAAGCCTCGTCTCAAAAACGAAGAAAAATCAAAAGAACGTGCGCCTCTGCATTATACTAGTTCCCAAATTCGTTTGACCCTAGAATCCCTTCTTTCCCAAGTATCATTTTGGGACTAGTTTATGGTTAAATGTTCTTTGTGACCATATGAGTGAATATTAGTGTCTGGGTATTAAGAAACTTATAGTGATTATGAGATTGGGATACCTCTATAACTTTATTTATTTATTTTGAGACAGGGTCTCTGTCACCCAGGCTGGAGTGCAGTGGTGTTATTTTGGTGCACTGCAGCATTGACCTCCCAGGATCACGTGATCCTCACATCCCAACCTCTTGAGTACCTGACACTACAGGCATGCACCACCATGCCCAGCTGAATTTTGTTGTTGTTGTTTTCTCATATGTTTTGTAGAGATGGGGTTTCATCATCTTGTCCAGGCTTATCTCAAACTCCTGGACTTAAGTGATCCTCCAGCCTTGGCCTCCCAAAGTGCTGGCATTATAGGTGTAATCACTGTACCAGGCCAGCTTTATTTTTATTTTTTGAGATGGAGTTTCGCTCTGTCACCCAGTCTGGAGTACAGTGGTGCAAACTTGGCTCACTGCAACTTCCTCCTCCCTTGTTCAAGTGATTCTCCTGCCTCAGCTTCCCAAGTATCTGGGACTACAAGCACGTGCCACCATGCCTGGCTGATTTTTTTGTATCTTTATTAGAGACAGGGTTTCACTGTTAGCCAGGCTGGTCTCGAACTCCTGACCGCAGGTGATCCCCCCACCTCAGCCTCCCAAAGTGCTGGGATTACAGGTGTGAGCCACTGTGCCTGGCCCAATTTTATTTTATTTTTTGAGATGGAGTCTTGCCCTGTTACCCAGGCTGGAGTGCAGTAGGTGCAATTGATCTCAGCTCATTGCAGCCTCTGCCTCCCTGGTTCAAGCGATTCTCCTGCGTCAGCCTCCCAAGTAGCTGGGATTACAGGCACCTGCTACCATGCCTGGCTAATTTTTCTATTTTTAGTAAAGATGGTTTTTCACCATCTTGGCCAGGCTGGTCTCAATCTTTTAGCCTCAAGGGATCTACCCAAATCAGCCTCCCGTTGTGCTGGGATTACAGGTGCTGGGCACCACACCCAGCTAATTTGTATTTTTAGTAGAGGTAGGGTTTCACCATGTTGGCCAAGCTGGTCTTGAATTCTTGCCCTCAAGGGATCCACCTGGGTCAGCCTCCCAAAATGCTAGGATTACAGGTGTGAGCCACCACTCCCGGCCACATACTTGCATTTTAATCTCTTTTAAAGATTAGACACATTCTGAAGCCACTTCAAGTGCTAAAGGAGCAATAAATAAATAAATAAATAAATAAATAATAAAATAAAATAAAATTAGACACAGCTCGGTGGCTAATCCCAGCACTTTGGGAGGTGGAGGTGGGCTGATCCCTTGAGGCAGGAATTTGAGACCAGCCTGGCCAACATGGTGAAAACCCGTCACTACTAAAAATACAAAAATTAGCCAGGCATAGTGGCAAACGTCTGTAGTCCCAGCTACTCTGGAGGCTGAGGCAGGAGAATTGTTTGAACCTGGGAGGTGGAGGTTGTAGTGAGCTGAGATCACACTGCTATACTCCAGCCTGGGTGACAGAGCAGACTCTATCTCAAAAAAAAAAAAAAAAAAAAAAAAAAAATTAGACACAGAAACAGTGTGATTTCTCAACAATACCAAGTTATTTTATTCTTTTTTTGGGGTCAGGGTGACAGGGCCTCACTCTGTCACCCAGGCTAGAGTGCAGTGGTGTGACCTAGGCTTACCAAAACCTGTCTTCTTTTAATTTTCTTTCTTTCTTTCTTTTTTTGAGATAGTCTCATTCTTTTCACCCAGGCTGGAGTTCAGTGATGCAGTCTCGGCTCACTGTAACCTCTGCTTCCCCGGTTTAAGTGATTCTCCTGCCACTGCCTCCTGAATAGCTGGGAATACAGACATGCACTACCACGCCCCACTGTCTTTTATATTTTTTTTAGTAGAGATGGGGTTTCGCCATGTTGGCCAGGCTGGTCTTGAAATCCTTACCTCAGGTGATTGCCTGCCTCAGCCTCCCAAGTGCTGAGATTACAGGTGTGAGCCACCATGCCTGGCCTGCAACCTCAATCTTCTGGGCTCAAGTGATCCTCCCACTTAGCCTCCCAAGTAGTTTAGACTACAGACATGTGCCACCATGCCTGGCTAAATTTGTATTTTTAGTAGAGATGGGGTTTTACTACATTGTCCAGGCTGGTCTCAAACTCCTATACTCAAGCAATCTGCCTACCTCAGTCTCCCAAAGTGCTGAAATTACAGGTGTGAGCTACTATGCTCAGCCAATTTATTTATTTATTATTTGTTTGTTTGTTTGTTTGGAGCAGAGTCTCCCTCTGTTGTCCAGGCTGGAATGCTGTGGTGCAGTCTCAGCTCACTGCAACCTCCACCTCCCGGGTTCAAGCATTTCTCTTGCCTCTCCCAAGTATCTGGGACTACAGGTGCCTGCCAGCACGCCTGGCTAATTTTTTTAGTTTTAGTAGAGATGGGGTTTTCACCATGTTGGCCAGGCTGGTCTCGAACTCCTGACCTTGTGATCCACTCACCTCGGCCTCCCAAAGTGCTGGGATTTCAGGCGTGAGCCACTGTGTCTGGCCTTTAATTCTTAATAAAAGAATAAAATTGCATGATCTGATCACAATGATTGTCAGTTTTATTTCTTCGATATTTTGTCCTACGTGCAAGGAGACTCTGAAAACCATTAGGTGGTGTTCACCCTGGTGAGCAGGAGCCAAGCACAGGAGTCATGGGCTTTCTCCATGTTCTTCCTCAACATTGGAAACAACTTTGCTTTGGAATCTTGCTCAGGAATCCAAACACATAGTATTGAATGGTGAGGAAGAAAGAAAAGATGAGATAGCACAGTAGGCTGCCTTCCCGTTCACTTCCCTAGGCCAGTGATGTAGGCGTTGATCAATGCTGTGTGAGTGTTTTGTGGGGAAAGTCTGGCAACTCCCTCTAACCATAGTAGCAGACTTTGATCCTCCTAAAGAGGTTCCCTTTGACCTGGTGTTGTGGTCAGATGGTAGGGCTTAATTCCTCCACCCTCACTGCCCCAGAAGTACTTGCCAGTTATAAGAGAATATGCGGTGTTGAAGGAAGTATCATCAACAAAAATGCTCTTTGCAAAGAAAACAGCATTTTAATAGGTTTCTGTCCCTTGCCCTGCATACACCCTTTAATGGTTCAGAACTAGGCTGGGCACGGTGGCTCATGCCTGTAATCCCAGCACTTTGGGAGTCTGAGGTGGGTGGATCTTTTGAGGTCAGGAGTTCAAAACCAGCCTGACCAACCTGATGAAACCCCATCTCTACTAAAAATACAGAAAAATTAGCCACATGTGGGGGTAGATGCATGTAGTTCCAGCTACTCGGGAGGCTGAGGCAACGGAATGACTTGAATCCAGGAGGCAGAGGTTGCTGGGAGCCAAGATTGTGCCACTGCACTCTAGCCTGGGCTACAGAGTGAAACTCCATCTGAAGGGAGAAAAAAAAAGTATAGATGAGGCTCAGACAGACAGCAGCTGAAGCCAAACAGAATTCTTAAGTATTTGGAAGCTTATGTATCCAAATCTTTTTTCTTTTTTTTTCTTTTTTCCTGAGACATGGTCTAGCTCTGTCGCCCAGGCAGCCTGGAGTGCAGTGGCATGATCTCGGCTCACTTCACCCTCCACCACCGGGGCCCAAGTGATTTGCTCACCTCAATCTCCCAACTAGCTGAGCTGGGCAAGAAAGAGAAACTCCATCTCAAAAAAAAAAAAAAAAGTTCTGAACTTGCAGAGAATCCACATTTCAGAGGTCCCCGGATGTACAAAATGTCCCTGGATCCAGACCGGTGACTTCTAACTTGTATGTGGTAGGAGGGCAGAGTCACTCTAGAACTTTTGTACTGGTCCTAAATATTAGCTCTCTGCTTTAATCCGTTGCTTTCTGATAAGCATGTCTGAATTGCTGCCCAAGGAATACTCTCTGGAGTGATGAGAGAGATTTGCTAACGAGGCCTTTTTCTTTTGCAGCCTCCTACTTTTCCCTACAGAGATGATGTCATGTCAGTGAATCCTACCTGTTTGGTCCTTATTATTCTTCTGTTTATTAGCATCATCTTGACTTTCAAGGTAAGCATGAAGATTTTACTTGTCGTCTAAAAATATTAAGTGTATTCCTGAATACCAAAGAAGTAAAAAAACTTTGGTCAGTTTATTGTCTTTCTTTGGACATCCAAATTGCTTTTTGATTTCCTAAGATAACAGTTCTTTATGTCTACATTAGAGGAAAGCACTAACCAAAATTCCACAGCTTGATCAAGGAGTCCAAAATATATTTGGACAGAGTTAAGTTAACGTAATGTTATACATTATGCAGTATACAATACTGCAACATCCATTATAAGATCTGTGTAACAGATATTCTTTTGTAATTTTTTGCTAAAGTGTAATATTTTCTGAACATTGCTCTGTCTCAATCCATTATATGAATATCATCATTTAATAAATTACCTGTTGTTGAACATTGAGACATTTTTTACTTTTTTACTTAATAGGGCTGCAGTGAATATATTTAAGTACAACCATATATTTATGCATCTGTTTCCTCAAGGTAAATTTCTTAAAATCAGGGTATTGATGGTTGGAAAGCCTTTGATAGGTTGTCAGATTGATGCCTCCCAAAGTTAAATGACTTCTACTTCCAGCAGGAGTGCATCAATTCTTTTTCATCTTGGTCAATCTGTAAAAACATTATGATAACTTGTGCTTGTGAGCTACTAAAAGGTAGAAAACTCCCTGGTTCTTTATGCTTTGAACTGTTGTTTCCTTTTCTTGTTTCTTTTGCATTTTTTGTGAGGCAGGATCTCTCCATGTTGCCTAGGCTGCCTCCTGCCTTGGTCTCCCAGAGTTGTGGGATTCCAGGTGTGAGCCACTGCGATGAGCATGCTTTGAATTTTTTTTTTTTTTTTTTTTTTTTTTTTTTGAGATGGAGTTTCGCTGTTGTTACCCAGGCTGGAGTGCAATGGCGCGATCTCGGCTCACCGCAACCTCCGCCTCCTGGGTTCAAGCAATTCTCCTGCCTCAGTCTCCCGAGTAGCTGGGACTACAGGCGTGCACCACCATGCCCGGCTAATTTTTGTATTTTTAGTAGAGACGGGGTTTCACCTTGCTGACCAAGATGGTCTTGATCTCTTGACCTCGTGATCCACCCGCCTCGGCCTCCCAATGTGCTGGGATTATAGGTGTGAGCCACCGCACCCGGCCCATGCTTCGAATTTTTAAATCTCAGTGCTTTTCATTGTCTTAAAATTAGCTCATTCTTCAAAAATCATTCCTCAGTAAACTTTGGAAAGCTGCATTAAGGCAAAAAATTCATATGGGTCCTATGATGAAAAGGAGTAGAAAGAAAATGGTTCATTGGAAATCATTTGGCCAGGTGAGATGGCTCACAGCTGTGATGGCAACACTTCGGGAGACTGAAGTGAGAGGATCCCTTGAGTCCAGTATGTGAGGCTGTAGTGTGCTACGACAGTGGCACTACACTACTACACTCCAGCCCAAGTCACAGTGAGATGCCAGGTTGTTGTTTTTTTTTTTTTTGAGACAGAGTCTCTCTATTGTCCAGGGTGTCCAGGCTGCCCAGGCTGCCCAGGCTGGAGTGCAGTGGCGCAATCTTGTCTCACTGCAACCTCCACCTCCTGGGTTCAAGCAATTTGCCTGCCTCAGCCTCCTGAGTAGGTGGGAGTATAGGTGCCTGCCACAGTGCCCAGCTAATTTTTGTATTTTTAGTAGAGACAGTGTTTCACCACCTTGGCCAGGCTGATCTTAAACTTCTGACCTTGTGATCCACCTGCCTTGGCCTCCCAAAGTGCTGGGATTACAGGCGTGAGCCATCACGCCCAGCCTTTTTTTTTTTTTTTTTTTTTTTTTGAGACAGAGTCTCACTCTTTCACCCAGGCTGGGGTACTGTGGTGGGATCTTGGCTCACTGCAACCTCAGCCTTCCAAGTAGCTGGGATTACAGGTTTGCACCACCACACCCAACTAATTTTTGCATTTTAGTAGAGGCCGGGTTTTATCATGTTGGTGAGGCTGGTCTCAAACTCCTGACCTCAAGTGATCTGCCCACCTCTGCCTCCCAAAGTGCTAGGATTATAGGCATTAGCTACCACACCTGGCCAGGGACTGTGTCTCATAAATAAATAAATGAAATCAATTGAGTCTAAATGTCCATCACAAAGCACCATGATTTTTTGTGTCCTTCAGTGGTTAAGGATGTGCGTGAATTTTACAGATGGATGTTGGGCCTTATAGCCTTGCAGCTCTCACTCTGCTCCAATTTCATGGCTGGTATTTGGCCGCACATAGGCTTGGGCTGCCTGCCATCCAGGCTGCAGGCAGAGCTGGCAGTGCCCCCTGGAGAAAGGCCACAGGCTGTCACATCTCACTCATTGTAGTTTGTCTTTGAAGGGTAGACTCCCTTTTGACTTTTGCCTGGTTTTGGTCACTCTCCCATGACTTACATGTGTGAGTAATTTTTCTAGATTTTTTTTCATTCATGTATTTATTCCACAGCCAAAATGTTTGTAATTTAAAGCTATACCATTTTTAAAAGATAAAAGAAAGTTTGTGGCACAGCTGCATTAACAAAACAGACCCCAGTCTAAAGTACAGCACTAAACAGGTGTTCTCTGCTCCCATGGTGGAGTAAATCCACACAATTACACATTAGGATTTCTCTGAAGATAGGCAGTGAGGCAAATAACCCTTTGAAATGAAATGCCCAGTGAATAGAGGCAGGCTACAAATTCTTTTAAGATTTTACTGCAAAATGGAAAAAATCCCAGAGGTGACTACCAACTCGAACCCCTCATTTCATGTGCCTGGCCTTTGCTGTGTGTTCTTTCCACAGCCACATCCCAATCCAGAAAAGCTTCTGCACCCCATGCTCAAAAATGTAACCTGAAGTCCTGGAGGTCCTCAGCACAGACTGACATTAATGAGCCTGTGTGTAACCTTCATCCACAACCTCCAAAGAAATCAGGAGCACAGACACACACAGCACCATTTCTTTTTTTTCCTCTCGGAGATGGATTCTTACTCTGTCACCCAGGTTGGAGTACAGTAGCACCATCTCTGCTCACTGCCACCTCCGCCTCTTTGGTTCAAGCAATTCTTCTGCCTCAGGCTTCTGAGTAGCTGGGACTACAGACCCACACCACACCTGGCTAATTTGTTGTATTTTAGTAGAGATGCTGTTTCACCGTGTTGTCCAGGCTGATCTTGAACTCCTGAGCTCAGACTATCCACCTGCCTTGGCCTTCCAAAGTGCTAGCATTATGGGAGTGAACCACTGTGCCCAGCCTAGCACCATTTCTTTTTTTTTTTTTTTGAGACGGAGTTTCGCTCTTGTTACCCAGGCTGGAGTGCAATGGCGCGATCTCGGCTCACCGCACCCTCCGCCTCCTGGGTTCAGTCAATTCTCCTGCCTCAGCCTCCGGAGTAGCTGAGATTACAGGCACGCGCCACCATGCTCAGCTAATTTTTTGCACCATTAGTAGAGACGGGGTTTCACCATGTTGACCAGGATGGTCTCGATCTCTTGACCTCGTGATCCACCCGCCTCGGCCTCCCAAAGTGCTGGGATTACAGGCTTGAGCCACCGCGCCCGGCTTAAACAATGGCTTTAACTGTCAAATGAGCTCTGGCAAGCAGTATGCCTTTCATAAACAAACCAAAATATCGTCTTCATATCTTCCTAATTTTCTTGCAAAAATGTTAAGCCATCCAAGTAAAAAATCTTTTAGGCCAGTTGTGGTGGTTCACGCCTCTAATCCCAGAGCTTTGGGAGGCAGAGGCAGGCAGATCACAAGATCACAAGTTCAAGACCAGCCTGGCCAACAGGGTGAAACCCTGTGTCTACTAGAAATACAAAAATTAGCTGGGTGTGGTGGTGGACACCTGTAATCCCAACTACTCAAGAGGCTGAGGCAGGAGAATCACTGGAACCCAGGAGGCAGAGCTTGCTGTGAGCCGAGATTGTACCACTGTATTCCAGCCTGGGCGAAAGAGCAAGACTCCGTCCCAAAAGAAATAAAAATAAAAAACTAAAATTAATTTAACAAGGAAAAGGAAAATTCAAAGGTTTTATGCCAAAAAACAACCAGTCCTCTGCAGCCTAACTCATTTGCTTTTGGACTGCGAAGCCACGTCGAGGGCGATCAGGCAGGAGCTGGTCCCTCCCACGGTCAGCACCATGGTGGTCGGTAAAGCATTTGGTCAGGCAGGCCTCATTTCAGGTGGGTGAGCACACCATCAGCATTCTGGAAAAAAAATCTGCAGCTCTGAACTTTGTTTTTCCCAGCATAATCCTATGCCGTGGAATCGGAGGTCAGTTTAGTTGGTGTGGAAAATATGGTAGGTGGTGCTTCTGCGAAAACCACGGGCTTTCCCTGAGGGCTCTAGGCCTCCGAAAGCCCATGCTCCCGCCAACTTCTGTGTGAAGCCACTAAATTTGTAGTACGTGATGCCTGGAATCTGGCTTCCTGTGTCCGCTGCCTGTATGACTGCCGCAATTTTTCCAGATTTTTAAAATCTTTGCTGCAGGAAGGTTTGTCTGACTGAGCTAACTCTGCCACTACCAGAAACTTGGAAGCTATCACCTCCCCAATTTTCTTTCTTTTCTTCCTTCCTTCCTCCATCCTTCTATCTCAGCCTCCTGAGTAGCTGGAACTGCAGGTGCACACCACCACACCCGGCTGATTTTTTTGTATTTTTAGTAGAGATGGGGTTTTACGGCCTAAGTGTTTGTGTTTTTAGTAGAAATGGGGTTTCACCATGTTGGCTGGAATGGTCTCAATCTCCTGATCTCATGATTCGCCCACCCTGGACTTTCACAATGCTGGGATTTCAGATGTGAGACACCATGCCTGGCCCAGTTATCCTTAAACAGGCCTTTAAAATCTTTTAAATCGTTTCACTTGAACTTACTTGAAATGCCCACATCAGACTTTGAGTCAAAGGACCTAGGGTTGGCTTCTATCACTACGACTTTTATTTATTTATAAAGGTACAACCGTGTTCATCATTACTAGTCATATAGTCTAAATTAGCAAAACAATAGCAAAATAAAATATATTAATATAGACATTAAAAGATATTTTTGAATGCACTTAATTTTTTAAAAGTTTTTGTGGGTACATGGTAGGTGTATATATTTATGGAGTACATGCAATATTTTGATATAGTGCAGAATAATCGTATCATGGAAACTTGGGTGTCCATCCCCTCAGACATTTAGTTATACTCTTTTAGTTACTTTTCAGTGTTACGAGTACTACCTTTAGGTTTGTGGGCAGAGCCGTGGTTTCTTTATTTACTAAATAGCAATACTAATTAATAAAACATTCTGCAGCATGACAGAGATAATGGATGGGAAGGTGCATTATACATTTATTGAGCAAATATTTATTAAGCTCTCATGTGGCAGGCTCTATTCTAGTACTGGGGTTTGGTAGTGAATAAGAAAAACCTGCCCTATGTTGCTTTTATAAATTGCAAAACACAAATATTGTCTCATAAATGGCACCATACAAATTGTTCACAGCAATGTCTCCAACTTGGGAGAAAAGTGTACATGTGTGATAAAATTTTATTGTATATATTTTTATTAAAATATAATTTTTTGTAGATGAGGGGGTCTCACTAATGTTACCCAGGCTAGTCTCAAACTTTTGGCCTCAAGTAATTCTCCTGCCTCAGCCTCCCTCGGTGTTGGGATTGTAAGTGTGAGCCAGCAGGCCCTGGCCAGTGCCTTCATTTTTACATTCCTCCCGACACTAAACTGATGCCTTGCACATAGAGACTCAGTAATTGTTAGTTTATTTTTTTATTTTTATTTTTTTCAAGAGAGGGTCTCCCTCTGTGCCCCAGGCTGGAGAGAAGTGGCCTGGTGCGATCTCAGCTCACTGGCACCTCTGTATCCCGGACTCTGGTGATCCTCCCGCCTGGCCAGTAGTAGCTGGTACTGTAGGCACACACTACCACACCCAGGTGAATTTTTCCATTTTATTAAAGATGAGGTTTTGCCATGTTGCCCAGGCTGCTCTGGAACTCCTGGGCTCAAGTGATTCCCCTGCTGCCGCTCCCAAAGTGCGGGGATTATAGGCATGAACCACCTCGCCTGGCTAAGACTCAGTAATTGTTAGTTTTAAATAGGTATATGCATGTTTTGGTTTCACGTATTGGTTCACTGGATTAATGCCTCTCATCACCAAAATTTGCTCTTATTCTGTGATAAGTGTTACTACCACAGTGATTCTTTGAAGCCCCCAAACAAGACACTTGTCAGCTTTGCTCTGTCCTGACAGAAAAGGATAGTGCTTACCACCTAACTCTACAGATAGATGATGGGAAGACTGTATCAGTGCCAGTTAATTTGGGAAATACACTAAATAGTTCTAACCAATATTGTAGAAGTGTTAAATAAGAAATCAGGTTATTGGCCGGGCGCGGTGGCTCAAACCTGTAATCCCAGCACTTTGGGAGGCCGAGGCGGGTGGATCACGAGGTCGAGAGATCGAGACCATCCTGATCAACATGGTGAAACCCCGTCTCTACTAAAAATACAAAAAATTAGCTGGGCATGGTGGCACGTGCCTATAATCCCAGCTACTCAGGAGGCTGAGGCAGGAGAATTGCCTGAACCCAGGAGGCAGAGGTTGCGGTGAGCCGAGATCGCGCCATTGCACTCCAGCCTGGGTAACAAGAGCAAAACTCCATCTCAAAAAAAAAAAAAAAAAAAAAAAAAGAAATCAGGTTATTGAAAGAAGTACCTAGGCTTTTAAAGACAGCAGGTCAACATTTTTCCCCCTTCGGAGTGTGTAGTAAGTGAATGCATGTGGCCTTGCAAAGGCCCTTGAGAATGCCTATTCTGGGCATTTCATGCAGATACAATATGTTGTCTTTTTCACTTTATTATTTCGTTTTTGAGACAGAGCCTCTCTGTCACCCAGGCTGGAGTGAGGTGCAGTGGCATGATCTTGGCTCACTGCAATCTCTGCCTCCAGGGTTCAATTGATTCTCCTTCCTCAGCCTCCCAAGTAGCTGGGATTACAGGCATGCCCAGCTCATTATTGTATTTTCGTTAGAGACGGGGTTTCACTATGCTGGCCAGGCTGGTCTAGAACTCCTGGGCTCAAGTGATCCACCCACCTCGGCCTCGGAAAGTGCTGGGATTACAGGTGTGAGCCACTGTACCCGACCCGTTTATTTTATTGCTGTTATACTGCATTGTATGGATGGTGCCACATTTTGTCTATCCATTCATCAGTTGAGGCGCATTTGGGTTGCTTCTACTTTTTGGCTTTTATGAATCATGCTGCTGTGAATGTTCAAGTTTTGTGGGGATGTATATTTTCATTTTCTTGGGTATATAATGTATATATGTATATTATATATATTTGTGTATCTATATATGTACTACATATGTAATACCTAGGAGTGGAATTGCTAGGTCATGTTGTAACTGTTTAAATTTTTTTTTTTTTTTGAGACGGAGTTTTGCTCTTGTTACCCAGGCTGGAGTGCAATGGCGCGATCTCGGCTCACCGCAACCTCCACCTCCTGGGCTCAGGCAATTCTCCTGCCTCAGCCTCCTAAGTAGCTGGGATTACAGGCACACACCACCACACCCAGCTAGTTTTTTGTATTTTTAGTAGAGACGGGGTTTCGCCGTGTTGACCAGGATGGTCTCGATCTCTCGACCTCAGATCCACCCGCCTCGGCCTCCCAAAGTGCTGGGATTACAGGCTTGAGCCACCGCGCCCGGCTACTCTGTTTAACCTTTTGAGGAACTGCTGGACTTTTCCAGAGTGGCTACAACCATTTTACATTCTCATAAGCAGTGTATTTCCTGGATTTTAGCAATCTAGTTTCTCTATGTGTTTGAACTTCTTTTAATCAGAGAATTTTAATGTTAAGGTATTTAGATAATCCAATTACAAATGATGAAATGAAAGTACAGAGTTCATAGCTTAAGCATCTCCCATGAACTCATGTTTTATTTCTAAGCAGTGTTTATTTTGGTAATTATTTTTAAGTATCTTTGTCAGATATTTTATTAATGAAAGGGAAATGTTTTAGTGTATTTTATTGACTGAGATAAATTTATATGCTATGAAATTTTAAAAACAAAAATTGGTTGTGTAATAAAATTGCAGATGATCATACAGAATAAAAATTTCCAAAGAAGCAGTTAATGTATGGTGATAAATGGATTAATACATTTGATGGTTCTGTGAATTCAGGGGCAATAAATGTTAATTGTGTGCTTGTTCTTTCCAGACACCTAGTCTTAGAAATTTCTTGTTCAACTCTCAACCCCTCTCCCTGCCACCTTCCCGCAGTACCACCCGGACACCCCCATTGTGTGATAGAATACGGCTCCAGTAGCACAGTGCCAAGAAGTTACTGTACACAACATGTGTGCTTTTAAGGACTTTTGGTTGAGTAGAGTTGTTAGAGTATGTGAATTTATTGCTTATGTCAATAAAAGTTTTATGATATGGCTTCATCTGTGTGGTATTTGAAATCACCTGCAGTTTGAAAATTAAAAATCTGATAATCACTCCTCATTTTCAGGGTTACTTGATTAGCTGTGTTTGGAACTGCTACCGATACATCAACGGCAGGAACTCCTCCGATGTCCTGGTTTACGTTACCAGCAATGACAATACGGTAGGTATGATGTCACTTATGGTAGAGCTCTCGCCCACACCTCTACTGTATGATGATCTTTAAATGTTTCTAGGGTCTGCTATATTTTCAGTGTTATTGAAACATACTCATGAGCTGCTTAGTTATGAAAAGATTCATCTTCATTATCAAAACATTCATTTAACTTTAAAGTGAAATGAAATGTATTTTGTTTTTCTTACAGGACAGTAACATGTAGGTGGCTCAACCCTGGTTTATTTTAAAACATATTACAGATAGATAGTGTGTGTACCTTACCATAATTATGTATCTTAAACTTACATTACTAAACCATGGTATATAATTCTAGATATCGCTTCTGTATTGTATGGCATTATGTTATCTCACTTTATATGTGAAGATAAACTGAAATGTGATGTTTACAGGTAGGTAAAAAAAACTACAAGGTTATTATGTCTTCATAACTTACCCTATGTATATATTCTTAGTAAAAGAATTTAAATGATCTCTGTTCTGCTACTAGTTGTTCATAGCTTAAAATGACAATCCTGTCATAAAAGATCTTTGAAAATGTGTCTTCACTGGAAGAGTCCATGAAAACATACGGACTTCATGTAAATTATCTTGAATTTTCTGGTTCGTGCTGAGATGAAGGTATAAGTCCTTAGGGTGTCTCCATCATCAGTGTTTTCAGCACAGGGCCTGATGTCATGCTCAGTACCAGGAAGTGCTCCATGCGAGGTTAGTGACAATGATGGCAATGGATGACTTGTCACTGTGTGGCACGGGACAAGATGGGTGGGTCAAAATGGATAGGATCAGACAGGACAGAATGGACTGGACATGTGAAAGGAACACAGATGGTAGGAGGTCACATTCATTCTAGAGCAGAGTTTTGTGTTTTTGTTTTCTCTGGTGACTTGCTCACTCTGACCTTACCAACATCATTCAGCCTGTTCCTCGCTTTACTTTCTTGTGTATAAAATGAGAATAAAACAGTTACAGACTTTGTATTAAATATATGGGCATAAGCTGCTGTATTACTGAGAACTCTGTGGGATTTTTAAAGCATGTTATGCATGAACAGTTTTCCTTTATGCTCACCACACATTTCTTGAGTTCAATCAAATACACATGAGCAATGGTTTAATGGACAGCCGTGACCAGATTCACAAAACCTGGCATACCCAGATGCTGAGGAGGCTCGGATTGGGAGTCTGCAGAGTTCTGTGTATTAATTACAGTAATCACGTGTTCCATTCAACCCCTTTAAAAAATCACTCCTGGGTCTGTAACTCTCTTCAAAGAAATATCTGCTCAAAATTTTTGGTATGATTTTGATTAAATTACTGGTTTAGGAATGTTTCCCCTTTTCTCTGAGTTGTCGAATATTTTTGTTTGTTTGTTTTACCCATTAACTGTTTTTGAGTTTCACCCAGGCTGGACTTAGGTAGCATGAACTCGGCTCACTGCAGCCTCCTCAGTGACCCCACCCCCCCCCGCCCCTGCTGATTCAGGTGATTCTCTCCTGCCTCAGCCTGCCAAGTAGCTGGGATTATAGGTGCCTGCCACCATGCCTGGCTAATTTTTGTATTTTTAGTAAAGACAGGCTTTTGCCAATTAGGCCAGGTTGGTCTCAAACTCCTGACCTCAGGTGATGTACCTGCCATGGCCTCCCAAAGTGCTAGGATTACAGGCGTGACACTATGGCTGGCCTATTTTACCCATTAATTTTTGCAGAAGGCAAATTGTTGGTGTTTATCTATGTATTTTTTTCCTGCTTTTTCTTAAAAAAAAAAAAAAAAAAGCCGGGCGCGGTGGCTCACGCCTGTAATCCCAGCACTTTGGGAGGCCGAGGCAGGTGGATCACGATGTCAAGAGATCGAGACCATCCTGGTCAACATGGTGAAACCCTGTCTCTACTAAAAATACAAAAAAATTAGCTGGGCATGGTGGCGCGTGCCTGTAATCCCAGCTACTCAGGAGGCTGAGGCAGGAGAATTGCCTGAACCCAGGAGGTGGAGGTTGCAGTGAGCCGAGATCGCGCCATTGCACTCCAGCCTGGGCAACAAGAGCGAAACTCCGTCTCAAAAAAAACAAAAACAAAAACAAAAAACCTCCATAATTAGTGTCCTACTGAACTAATAAAAAAAATGTAAGCAAGGTTTGAGATTTTTAAGTTTGAGGAACCAATGAAGTTGTGAAACAAAATACATCAGAACTTCTTTGTAAGTTTCATGGTGCATGGGGCTTATAATATCACCATCTTTTAGAAATATCTCAGAGCAGAGAATAATGTCCATATTGCAGGTGCTTGTTTTGATACTGTAGTGTTATGAAAGGGAAGGAGATTCATCCACAGTTCCTAACTCACAACTTCATAGCCATTGTTAGTCTTTGGTTATTACCCTAGGTGCATCAGGCCCCAAAGAATCTCTGACTTACTCCTACCCTAAGGCAGGATTCTAATCTCCCCTTTCCTTTCTAAATATGAGTCTTAAGACCTTGCCTAGAGACAGTCCAGCCTCATACCCTCAGGGAAGGAAAGCTGACCATCCTTAGGAACCTGGAGGTTCCTTGAGGGTGGTACACCCAGGAAGGGTATAGAAACTCCATACCGTTCCCCCATAACAGTATCCTTTACAATAAACCAGTAAACCTTAGTAATGGTTTCTCTGAGTTCTGTGAGCTGCTGTAGCAAGGTAATCGGATCCAAAGAGTCCAAAATGTCATGGGAACCTCAGCTTGAAGGCTGGTTGGTCAGAAGCTCCTGAGGCCTGGACTTGGAGTGTGTCTGAGTAGGGAGGGGACACTTTTGCAGATTGAGCCCTTAACCTGTGGAATCTGACTCTATCTCCAGGTAGATAGACCCAGTTGGTGTCTGCTGCTTGTTGGAGGTGCAGTGGCATGATCTCAGCTCACTGCAACCTCCACGTCCCGGGTTCAAGTTACTCTCCTGCCTCAGCCTCCGTTGTAGTTGAGACTACAGGCACATGCCACCACACCCAGCGATTTTTGTATTTTTAGTAGAGATGGGGGTTTCACCATGTTTGTCAGGCTGGTCTCAAACTCCTCACCTCATGATCCACCCACCTCAGCCTCCCAAAGTGCTGGGATTACAGGCGTGAGCCACTGTGCCCAGCCAGTCTGTGATCACTTTCTTACTGTCTGGTATGACAAGATGCTCTAGGCTCATCTTGTATATTTCTTGCCCCAGACATGGAATGAACCATTTCTCCAGGCAGCCCTGCCTATGTTTCATAAGAAATGACCTCTGTAGACCATAATCTGGATTTCTAGGATTAGAGGACAGGCGTTTTTTTTTTGTTTGTTTTTTGTTTGTTTTTTTTTGTTTTTGAGACGGAGTTTCACTCTTGTTACCCAGGCTGGAGTGCAATGGCGCGATCTCGGCTCACCGCAACCTCCGCCTCCTGGGTTCAGGCAATTCTCCTGCCTCAGCCTCCTGAGTAGCTGGGATTCCAGGCACGCGCCACCATGCCCAGCTAATTTTTTTGTATTTTTAGTAGAGACGGGTTTCACCATGTTGACCAGGATGGTCTCCATCTCTCGACCTCGTGATCCACCCGCCTCGGCCTCCCAAAGTGCTGGGATTACAGGCGTGAGCCACCGCGCCCGGCTGTTTTGGCTTTTTAAAGCAGGGCTCTGCATGTTTAAAGATTGCTTAGAACTAAAGCAGTTAGGGGGGGAACTTCTTGACATCTTCTTGCCTTTTTTTCACTTTTTTTCCTTTATTTTTTTCCCTCCCACCCTTTTTTCCCTTTTTCCGGTTCTCCCGTCCGAGTCCTCTTCTCGCCACCTAAAAAAAAAACTTTTTTTATTCTCTGATTTTTATTTAATTCTCTAATGTTTTGACCACAACTCTCAACATTGCTATCACATCGTAATCTTATATTTTGGTTTTTTGTCTGGCCTATACCTGGTAATAATTGTTATTCAATCACAATTCAGAATCCGAAAATCGTTTGCTCCATCCTTCTTTCTACTATAAAATAATTTGGGTGGCGGGCAAGGCCTGTGGACGCTGGCCATGTGGGTCCCCATCGACCCCAAGGAGACACCCATTTTAAAAACCTTATTTGATATTCATAGAAATTCATTATCTATAGCCCTTTTTTTTTGTTCCAGATTAATTGAGCTCTATGAAGCAACCTCTGACTAGAGAATCACGGTGCTAGAGGGATGAGGCTGGAGTGTTCAGGGGTGTTGAAGGTCAGCTCAGCGACATACACCACCCATCTTCTAGCGGGGGGGGGGGGGTTATTTGTGTCAAGGAGGGGTAATATTTCGGTCTCCGTATTTTTCTAGTAGAGCAGGGGTGTCGGGCGGAGTGAGGACTGACGGAGAAGGAGGTGGTGTTTCATCCAATTGTTTTAGCCTCTCTGCGGGCTGGTCATGAACTCCGCATGTACAGTGATGAGGGCACACGAGAGGGGCGGGGGTGTCCTAGGGAAGGGCTACGACCGGATCGCCCTAAGTACACTGGAGAGAGGTTGATTAAAGACACACAAACGTAGTGTCACCACCGTAGTGCCCAGGGGGGGACAACATGGTCGCAAGACTGACATCAGACTATGGCTCTCTACTAGTTTACACTTTGATACTCACAGTTTATTTCCAGCGCTGCGTGTGCTAGATATTTAGGATAATTCTTATGATTTCTCTGGATCTTACGTGCACTTTCTTTAAAGGGATTCTTAACCCCATCTGTCTCAACGCTGACCATGAAAGCAATCATCACAGGAGCTACCCTACTCTGATGCTGGCGGCCTTCTCATTGTTAATTACATGCATATATTCTGGGATGACTTTTTTAAGTTTCTTCGTTCATGCTGGCTGGCTTCCATAGTCTGCACATTCTGAAATTCAATTCTACAACTCATGGACTCTTCCCCAAATGCATCTTTCTTAGTTTGTTATCATCTCATCATCTCATGTGATCAGTGAGCCATTGGGAGAGGTCTTTAGGGATTGTGCGGGGCGGCGGTGTCTAGTGCTATGGT